ACTTTATTCTGAAGGTGTGGCGGCTTTTATTTTGCCGTGGCGAAGCGCCACAATCAATTACTTGTAGGGGAAACCCTGTAAAAGTTTCTTAGTTCTGAATGAAGCAATTATGGGATTACCATCTTAAGACTTGAGATTTCTTACATTTTAAGGAACTGTTGATGAGCATCTGTTTATTCACCCACAGGGCTACAACAACAGTAAAGGTGTGGTATTGGAGGCTTCATTCACTCCAGACTCTCAGTTTGTGATGATTGGTAAGTTTAAATTAACATCTAAATATTGTGTTAGAAATAGARGTCATTTAATCGAATGATTTTGGTCACTCTTACAAAATCTATCAGCCATACTTGTACAGATTTATGGCTGGTTTATACTTMAACAAGACACGAGAACAGATCTGTGATTACATCATTGTGGATGTCTTTGTCTCATCCAGTGTTTATGGTCGGGAGGAAGATACGGGGGATAAATCATATTTTTTTCCCCTCTGCCCTCCCACACACTCCCAATATAGCACAGGTCATGTGCACAGCTAACCGTTTAAACAACAACAGTGATATCAGGACAGGTAGAGGTTGTTTTTGTATCAAACGTTGGAAGAGATTGAAAGAAGATTTAAACGTTGTTGATTTCTTACGATTAACATCAGCCATAGAGAAGCTCGTGTTGGTCTTGCTCTAATTGTAAATGCTCATTAAAACAAGATCAATATTAGAGTAGGTCTATCTTTTCTTGAAATTATTTTGTTGCACCTTAGTTGGATCTGCATTAATTGTTTACACATTGAGCCAACCTCACTTCTTTTCCTCATTAATACTGAAAAATTGCTTCAGAAAATACTTTTTTTGATTTTATAGAGAAACTAACTTAATGAGTAACAATYTGATAGATCCTTTCAGTATGAGTTGGCAACGATTAGAAGTTTTGCACAAAATTGACACCTTCAAAATGTTTTCGTGTTGTGTTTTGTAACATGTGTCACATGTTTGTTTTTAGGTTCTGAGGAYGGAAAGATCCACGTGTGGAACGCAGAGAGTGGCATGAAGGTGGCGTTGTTAGACGGGAAACACACGGGCCCAATCACCTGCCTACAGTTCAACCCCAAATTCATGACGTTTGCCAGCGCCTGCTCCAACATGGTGAGTGTGAGCAACTCTAAACTGCTTAAATGTAAATGTTAGTTTTCAGTCAGACATTTATTTACTCAATCTGAATTCAACCCAATAAATACACTTGAGATGTTTGCTATATTGAAAATGTAACACTAAAGAAAGATGGTTAAAATTTAGTCAAATTTTGGCTTTTATTTTGGAAGAATGCAAAAGGAATAGTCGCTCTATATTGTGTTTCTTTTTTTATTAACTTATGTAGATTCAAGTTTTTCTAACGGGTAATTGATGATTAAATTTTTCAGGCGTTCTGGCTCCCCACCATCGACGACTGATAACGTAAAGCTGCAGTTTGTGTACGTAAAGCTGCAGTTTGTGTTGAAGACCAGCAGGGGTCAGCTGTGTGTGGACGTCACCACCTGTGTGCAAAATCCAAAATTATTTTGTAAATATTGGGTTGTGGGAATGGATCACTTGTTTATATTTTTTCTTTTTTTATTTGTATTTAACATTAAAATGTTTTTCTTTGTTAAAAAAACGAGTTTGAACTTTCATTATTTTTTATCTATTTACTTTCGTAAACTATTTCTGAGCCGATCAACATTTAAGGTTTTTTTTTAAAGTAAGAAAAAAGTGGTCTTAAATTCATTTTGGCATATTAGCTGCTGAGAAGACCAGTTTAAAATAGTGCTGTMACAACATTTAAAATGACTCATGTTTTGTAGTATGTCTTATTTTTAGGATATTGGTGAAAACGCTGAGAAATTCAGTTAGTTTTTGTTTTAAGTGTGATGTTCTTTGTCAAAACCAAAAAAAAGGCAGAAGTGGCTTCAAAGCCAGATGCTTGTGTGGAAAATTTGCTCATCTGATTGAAGTAAAAAAAGTCCTCAGCATGGTCAGGTGTTGATGACTGTTAAAAACATCTTACTCAATCTGTTGATCAAGGGTTGTCTCACGTGGGTGAGATTGAATAAATTGTGTAAAGTTTTCTGTACATTACGCTTCCTGTCACCCGTATTCAGTTAATAATAAATCACAGGACAGCTGCCTCTTTAAATCCACATTTAAAAGCGAAGACTTAACTTTTTGATTTATTAAAACCTGAATAGCACTAKTGGTACTATAGGACTTGTGAGTCTTGTTCAGCTTTGTGTTAGGCTYTTCGTGGACCACTTTCCCAGCCTGGACAGTCAGAGCTAAATATGGGAGAAAGGAGATCAGGTTCCATCTCTGCACATGACGCTGTCCCACTTAACTTGAGCAATGTCCCAGTTCATACAGACACACTTGGAGTCCGGACCCTGAGTAATCCTCCCAACTTTGCAGTCAGAACACTCGGATCTTCACCTGAATTAAAGGACCAACTTTACCTTTGTGCCTTTTCTTTTTCTTTATTATTCTTTTTTTTTTTTACTTTTTATATTTTCTGGATTGGACTGTATTTTTGGAGCTTCTCTTCTGCCCACCCCACCACCGGCAGGAGAAGGACACCGCTGACCTGCCATGTTTCTCGCACTGACGGTGACACCAGAGCTGAGGCAGTTCCTGGCCAAGGCAAGAGGTGGAGCAGCGCGCCTCATCAAAGTCTGCATCCGGGACGGTGAGTGACCCAGGATAGGATGGTCTTCAGGGGGCTACCTTTCTGTTCAAAACCACAGTGCTGGAGAGCTAAAAATGTCTTAAAAGTCACTTGGTTCATCTGATTTTTCTAAGCTTAAACTTGTACATAACTCATGTTTCTTTACATTGAACGGGCCTAAAACTTAACTTTGTTACTTAAAATGTAGCAGCCTTATTGCCAGTGGGTCAAGCAGTCCCAGTAAATTAAAACAAACATTTTGGTTATTTTATGTAGGAATAAAATGTGAATAAATGCTACTTTTCTCACTATATTCTCACTCTTTTCTATGGAGYGGAGTTTATAGTTCAAGGCCTGAATATGTGTAACTACAGAACAAGAGGCCCAAAGTTTCCTCCAGTTTAACATGTCACCTCTTAAAAAAAACAGAATGTAGAGGGGATTTTCAGCTGTTGTTCCAATAGGTTTAAAGACCAAAAAACAAGTAAAGAAACACCACAAATTAGGCTAATTTGTGTTTAAAAAAAAAACAAGACTAAGCTGTCCGACGTGTCCGAGCAGGGACTCTGTGACACCTGAGCGACCTGGAAAAAACCMACATGAAGCAATAATTTTCCAGGTAGCCGATTATCCATGAAGTGTTTAYATCTTGTTTTTGTATCCGACCAGCGGCACGCTGTAATACGACTCACGTCAGATGCATTCTGGGACAATTTGGGGGTCTATCTTGGTGGGCTTTAGCTATCGTGTTAAATATTTGGTCTCAGATTGATGTCAGAGCAGAGAGCAGACAGGTTCTAGCTCGTCATGCTGAGTTCTGCATGTCTGAACATGCTTTGAACTCCCTCATTTAGTATTTCTCATATACACTTGACCTTGGCTTTGATGACAGGACATTTAAATGTGTACAAGTACACAATGTCGTCACTGACAATAAGAAACAAAGCAAGTTATTTAAATTTCCATCACTGTTCTGTTTCATCCCATTTATCAAAGTAACACARATGTGTTTGAATAAAAAGCATTATCTGGCCTTCATGCTTAGACTTATTTTAGAATTGCAACTCTACATATTAAAATAAGTTTCACGTGTTTARTTATGGAGTTTGTCGGTGTTATTACTCCATATTTGTTCTAATATCAAAGGAGAAACTGGACATTTGGTTCACATTCAACCACCGTCCCCTCTGATTTTTACCCTTAATTATATAAAAAAAAACTGTTTACAACATCCAGGGTATCCCCCAACGCACAACCTATCAAGTGGGTGATTATTTGGTTTCATATAACCTATAAAGACAGCAGAGAATGGCTGATGGAAAGTATGTGTGTGCAGACCTGGAATGTGTTGCGGCTCAGAATAGCAACACGGCCCCAAGAGACAGTGGAGAAAAGACCCCCCCCCCGCACCCCACTGAGGTCATCAGACTGCAGGTTTTATGTGTGTTTTCATACGAGTTTTCAGGCTCCGCTGGGAGATTTAACCCAGTCAGGAAATAATCCAGCTGTATTTTCAGCTGTGATATTAGATTTCACTTTTCCTTTTTTCCACAACACTCTGGTCCAGACTGCGTGACTTTATTACAGGTTGRACAAACTTGAGGAAAAGGCCTTCATTTATGAACTAATGATGAAATTAAATGTCTAATCTAATTATTGTTTTAAATRAATAAAATTGTATACTGTTTTTCCTAGATTTATTTCTCCATTTCACTGTGTGTGTTTTTGTATAAGTAAATCCATTCTGAAGGAGATTTAAGGCTAATAAAAACATCTTTAGTTAAACACATTGTGTTGTAATGGTGAACATGATGCAATRTGTCGTCTTGTTTGGTGCTCTGGTATGTGATGAGTGGTGGTCTGATTTTCAGAGCAGCTGGTGCTGGGGGCCTACACTGAGCCAGAACACAACTGGGACCAGGACTATGATCACTTCCTGCTTCCTCTACTGGACGACCAGGAGCCCTGCTACGTCCTGTACCGTCTGGACTCCCAGAATGCACTGGGTTACGAGTGGGTTTTCATCTCGTGGTCTCCTGACCAGTCTCCAGTAAGACTCACGTTTCCTCTATTCAGTCAGCAACAAATACTATGTCTGTATTGTCTTTTTTAATCAAAATGTCTGCTTTAAAACGAGCCTTTTTCATAAATAGTGTGGTCTTTCTGGTGCAGGGTATTTCCCAGGTTGCTGTCAAACTATTTAGGGAGTCATCCTTGTAACATAAAAKATGTTGAAGCTGTCTGCAATAAAAATAGAGCTTAAAGTCATGTTTTCCCAACACTAGCCAACTAATGTGAGCCCAGCACAGCATCAGAGCTGAATACACCTGGTCCAAATAATCCAGGAAGAATTAGATGGAAACGAGTGAGACAAACTGATGAGCTCCTTCCTGCATGTCTTAAAAAAACACAGGTGTCTGCAACCTTTACTTACATTTGAATAAATACATTGTTTTATTATGAAATGAATCTATTAAAAATGTTCATTTCAGCACAAGAGACACTTTCAACATAAAACATTACTTCCATAAGTTGAAAGTATTAAAGCTAGTTAGAGAATAAAACAATTAGCCCAGCTTATCTGTTGGATATTTAATTGTGACTTATTGGAGATTTTTTTTTGTCTTATCAATAAAGGCAGACTTTATTTTTATTTATTATTTTTATTTAAAAGGGGACAGTGCAATTTAATAAATCATATGACAATTCATAAGTTAAAAAAGCCAGAATTAGCCAAATGGCTATTTTTCATCTGTAGTCCCCTGGCCATGATGTTAAAAAGCAGCATAATACAGGAATAAAATACAGCAAACACACAATAAATAAGAGCAGGACATTAAATTAAACATAAAAAACACAATACACCACATTAAATACAGCTTATCTTTAGTGTTGGCAGATATAAGAATCAACAAGCCATTTTTTTAAGATGCTTAGTGAAACACCTGTAGGTTGCTAACTGTCTAATTTCACCTGGTAGTGAGTTCCATTTGTTTCAGCTTTTATTGTATTTTATTCAAAGGTGGGTATTTTCTTCAAATCATAAATTACAGCAATATTTTTTTAGAGCACCTTGTTTTAAAAACTCCTGGGATGTCTGTTTTCCCTCTCAGCACTTTGCCAAAATCGGGTTAAAAATGTAAAAATTTCAGATGAATTTCAGAGAAAGATTACTCAGGAGCTCAAACAAATAAGCTCACAGGCTAAAAACAACCACTAGCACAATGTGATCAGTGTGTTTTGTATTGTAATATTAGTATAATTATACAAATGTCATTTTAGTTGCATGTAATTGGACAGGAAAAATGTTTTTCCACTGTTGTTATGAATGTCAGCATTCATTTTTATGCCAATTTTTTTTTGTCAAAGCTATGAGAGCCCTGTCCCAAAACAATGAGAACATGCTGCTCATGTAGCTTTTAAAGAATTCAGATTCTGTAAGAAAGAGGAGAAAGTTCTCTCCAAAGTTAAAAAAAAACCTTGTGCTCCAGATTTTTCTTCATAATGAAATCAAGACAACCACATTYGCACATTTTCATCAAGATAACGCACGTCTGAGGATCTAAATCTATACCATTTCTTTTTCTAACCAATTGGAACGATGTGTTTATATATAACCATGTTTTTTAATAACTTAAATTGTAGATAAGTTTCAATTCAAAACTTCATCTCATCTGTCATGTCTGCAGGTGAAACAAAAGATGTTGTACGCTGCCACGCGTGCCACGGTGAAGAAGGAATTTGGTGGCGGCCACGTGAAGTACGAGATGTTCGGCACCACAGAGGTCAAAAGTTTCCCCCGCGTACCTGACAAAAAGTGTCTGAACTGCCAAGGCGACGCGTTTTTGTTTTTAAAACTCTTTGTTTTTCTTGCAGGAGGACATCTGCTTGCAGGGCTTCCAGCATCATGTGTCGTCCTGCTCAGGCCCGGCCCCGCTCACGTTAGCCGAGCAGGAGCTGCAGCGGATCAAAATCACAGAGGTGAGAGGTCAGCGTTGCACATAGCCCCGTGCACGAGCTGCTTCCTCTTTTTTTTTTAAACCACCATTTCTACATCTCAGAACACATAAGGTAACTTTGCTCTTGCTTTTGTCTTTTCAGGGCCGAGTGAAACAGGTATGTTTAAGGATGACTGCGTGGAGTCATCATGGATTAGAGGGAGATTGAGAGTTGACAATGAAAGGTGTCTGTTTGCTGTCCCCTGCAGGTGAAGACAGAGATCAGCGTGGAGAACAAGCACCAGACACTGCAGGGCCTCGCTTTCCCGCTGCAGGAAGCAGCCAAAAGAACTCTGCAGCTAATGGCCCAAAAACGCGTCAATTACATTCAACTGGTGAGCCAGGAGTAAATCCAGAGTGTCTCCAAAACACGACAGAGATGTGAAGCTTTTATTTGAACAAAAACTAATACAGAGCAGCTTGAAGACTTCTCTGCATTTATTGTTGTGCTTTAGCGGCTGGATGTAGAAAAGGAAACCATCGAGCTGGTCCACTCAAACCCAACAGAAACTCGAGATCTGCCCCGAAGGGTTCCCAAAGACACTCCCAGATACCACTTCTTCCTTTACAAGCACTCCCATGAAGGGGACTACCTGGAATCTGTTGGTACGATGCAGAATCCTTAAACCGCCATGATCCTGTGTTTATCTGAACCAGTTACACACACACACACGCACGCACGCATGCACACACACACACACACACACACACGTTTGGACAGCTATCCATTTGGGGACATTCCATTGACTTCCATTACATTCCTACAGCCTAACCCTGACCACAAACCCTAAGGCTAACCTCACCTGACCCTAAAACTAAACTAAACTCAATTCACACCTTGGTCCTAAACCCAACCCCCAACCCACCAATGGCATTTAAACCAAATGGAGACTCGACTTTTGTCCCCAAATGCACCAGTTGTCCCCAAAGTAGGTTTTTTGTCTTAAAACTTCCCCCAAATGTCACCAGAAACAAACACATACACACCTGTAGTCCAGGACCACAAACAGCTGATCTCAGACTGGAACAAGTGTTTCCACATACTTGTAAATGTAAAAAAAAAGAAAAACAACAAAAGTTAAAGGAAGTGCAGATCAGTTGCACTGAAAACAGCGATGACACATAAAATATGACGTGCTATTTGAGTTCTTTGATAATGCTCCTAAATGTTTCAGTAGATGACGATGATTTGCTTGATTAACAAATGCAAAGTACTTCTGAAAAAGTCATTCTGTTATTGCAATATCTTCACATTTTGTAAGTTTTAACGTTGCTTTCACCTTTGTGATGTAAGTTGCTGTATTCAGTATAGTCCAGGGCTTCTGTCTGTTTTTAGTCATTAAGTCTTTGTATTTTATTTTGGCCTAATTTTCTCATTTCTTAAGTTTTAAACTGTATTGTACTAGGTAATGAAAATGACCTTTTCACCATTATTACATTGAGTTTTGATGCAAAACTACAGGTTTTTCTCCCACCCCCCTTTTGTTAAAACTGACCTTTTCCTCAAATCAACTCAAATTGTTTTMCTGTTTCAAAACATATTTAAAAGGCAACAATCATTAGCAATATTCTCTTATATACAGATCGAGAAATAAAAAATAATGGCCTAAGTCATTTTTTTAAATATTTTTTTCAGGAAACAAAAAGCTTGACCAAAAATGTACTGTATGACATGTTTGGAGATTCCTGACAAACTTAAAAAAAAACAGACTTTTTATGACTATTATAATGAACATTTTAGGAAGGCGTCGATATTAAATTCAAAATAAGTATCTCAGAATCCACATTTGATATGTAAATTAAAGATTTAAATCATTTGCAAGTACTCGTGTTCTGCTTTTATTTGCATCCACGGTGCAACTGATTTGTTTTCAGACAGAAATTACATTTAATTAGCTCCCCTTTGTTTTGGCTCGGGAATCTAAGCAAATATAGCGCAACACATTTGGAGTTTGTCACCGACTAGGCTGCACTGAAGGACTACGCACAGACTGCTGATATTTTGACTTTTAATGAAATACGATTCCAATCTGATGCTTTTTTTTTCTTCTTCCCACAGTGTTTATCTACTCCATGCCAGGATACAGCTGCAGCATCAAGGAGAGGATGCTGTACTCCAGCTGCAAGAGCCGACTACTGGAGGACGTGGAGAAAGATTATCATTTGGAAGTAGCTAAAAAGGTAACAGATGTGCCAATGGGACTGAGCATTAGGAAGCGTGGCTTCATTCGTGGTTGTTACTGAGAACACTGAAATCTGTGTACTTTCACCTATAATACTCACTGAAACTGCAACTATAATTAAAATGAAAAGGTGGCATTTACATTACTAAATTCTAATTACAGCTCGTGAAGAAACTATGCAACTGAATGATTAATAGTGTCAAAGTTCTTCACTTTTAATGAATGCTTCACGCAGACGCATCTTGTCCACCTGCATTTTGACTGATCKCTTTTATTTTGCTTCTGCGTCGACGCGCAGCTGGAGATCGAAAACGGCGACGAACTGACAGAGGAGTTTCTGTATGAAGAGGTCCATCCCAAGCAATACGCCCACAAGCAGGCCTTCGCCAAACCCCGCGGTCCTGCAGGCAAAAGAGGACACAAGCGTCTCATTAAAGGAGCGGGAGAGGCCGTTCAGGACAGCTAGGAGCCGACGGATTCAWCTCCAGCCATGTCTGCACCTTCCTGGCCTTTCCTTTCCCGACCGACGCCGACCCTCTGCTGTGTGCGCACCGAAGCACTCGTGGTGCCAGTTTTATTTTTGGATTGATTTGTGCTGATAAATAATCTTTAATCAGGCTCTCTGGTCAGTCTGGGTTACTGTGTTACAGATATTTTGAAGGAACTAAAAATAGAGACGTTTAGAAGAGATTATTTTGTTAATCGGTGTTTTTCAGAATTTACAACCTGCAGTTTGCAAAAGAATGAAACCAGTACTGGCTCGTGATCAGTTCAGCTCTATTGTTAACTTTTATATCTTCAGTTTTGTAATGAGTTATCCACAGAAAAATAAAATGTCAAAACAGCTTTCTTTAAATCTGGTCTTGGATTAGTGGTTATAGTTGTCAATTTGGTCAAAATAAACTTGTAATTTATTTATTTATTTTTTTCAATGAGGTTGTTCAAAGAGATATCTACAGCAGGTAAGATATTCATTGTTCATCGCCTGACTACAGTGCATTTTGAGCTTTCCTTTTAAGGCAGAAATCTTGAATCTGTTGAGTTAGTTTTTTAAGCAGTTTGATCAAACAGAAGCTGTAAACTTTTCTTACATTCACACTCTCTTCTGTCATCCACTTGCCTTCCCATTAAACAAACATTTCAACCTGTAATCCCAGCTTACAAACTGAAGTTTTAGGTGTTTTCCACATTAATAATTTATAGTCTTGATTGTGTTACTGAATGGAATTGCTGCCATTTCTGTGAAGATTTATTTGATTCCAGCTGGCTGAAAAGAATTAGATTGGAATTAGATTTATCTTCTCTGGGTGGAGGATAATAAGTCATGTTAGCAGCTCTGTGAAGTCACACTTTAAATAATACAACCTAGTTTCGAAGTTTCGGCACATTGTAAAATGTTTAAATCCTTGAATTGTATAGTTCTTAAAAGAAAAGCAATGAAATAAATGTTGGAGTTTCTTTTTTTTCTTTTTAAACWAGCACCTTTATTCAATTTGGTGCAGAACACGTGGATAACAAACAAAAGAGGCTTTAACACAATAAAAGAAAATGATGTTCTTTGAAGTGAAGACAGGCAAAGGCTCAGATTTTCTGCCTTTTATCATCTGTGGTGCATTAAAACCGTTGAAAGCAGAAAATCTGTGGAACACTGCTGGAGTGGCAATCTTCCCTCACACGTCAACTGCATTCAGAACAGACACGGATCTGTAAAATGAAGCACTTCGTTGGCTCAGAAACACTGAACACCATTATGGAAAACTGCCCTGCGGTCTGTGGAAGCAAAATGTAAAAGTTTTCTTGGAAAACGCGAACCGAATCCTCCCAGCTGAAGAGGAAAAGGGGGACCATCTGGTCTTTTTTTCTTTTAACAATCAGGAAACAGTTGAAAAGCTGTGTATTTGCCATGGTATGAGGGTGCGTGAGTAACTTTAGCTCATTCAGCTTTAACGCAGAGCAATCATGAACTCAGAACCATAAACAGGTTTCTCAAAAATGTAACGCTTTCGAGGAAGGTCTTGTTTGGACAATATGTGAAGTCATATTCTGCGTTTGTTCACACAGAACAGCAGTAAAACAAAAGGTTTGATGCATCCATTGTGTCAATCCTTCAGCTAAACCACACCGAATTTTAGCTCAGTGGGTTTTTGTTTTGTGTTTGTTAAAGTTGTGTTGCTGAAGTATCTTTAATGAGTTTGGTCCACTTGTGGATGTCCATCTAATGAGAGTTTCAATAAGATGCAGCCACTGCTTCATGACTTATTCTGCTAATAAACAGAAACATGTGGCAAACTCATACATACATATTAACTTAGCATTAATAAATAAGGAAATTAAGTGTTTGATAGATTTTTCCTTTGYTGTAACAATGCTTCTTGGCAATAAATCGTATTTATACCAGGCACCTGATTGGCAGCACATGGAGGGAAGCTTAAAACAAATGTCAATAGAAACAGCACAATAAGCTGTTTAGCTAAGATTTAATTAATTTTTCATGTGCACAAMCCACATACTCAGCTCCTCACATGTTCCTTACAAATGTCACACCATTTAATAAGGAAATTAACAGGCTTTCCAATGAAGAAGCATCATTACAACCAAGAAATAATCTACCAAACACAAGTTTCCTTTCGAGCTAAACCGCAGCTGCATTTTAATAATACTTGTTTCTGGCATTACTTTAAACAAGATCACATTTTAACAAAGGGAACTATTTAATTTGTTGTTTCTACATGCAGTAACAGATTTATGAAAAGCCAGAAAAAAGTATGTTTTTGCCTTTTTTTAAGAGAGAGACAGAAAAAAAAGAAAATTTATAATCTAAACAATGACTCAGCATTAAAAACAAGGTTATGAAACAACAGTGAATCTTGTATCTACTTTGACATTTATTTCATTGCAGACAGTTTGAACCCAAAATATCTTTGTTTTGTCTCATCACAGTCGTTCACATGTTCTGATTTCTGCACTTTAGGTCAACATCACGTTCAATGATCCGGGCCAGACGAGCTGCTGCTCATCTTTACATCTGAATCTGAATGAACTGAACCCACAGCACTTGTTTCTCACAGCAAATGTTTCACACGTGAGATTTCATCAGTCTCACCATTTTATTTTCCACACGAGTATTCATTTTAAACAAACAGACACACACACAACCACGCCAATTAACTGAAGCAGTCAACTCTGTGGCAGAACAAGTTTTCTCTTTTCTTCAAACTTACAAAGGATGAATTTGTCTTACACCTTCCAGGCACTGACATCTTTTTCTCAGAATACCCTTGAAATGTTTTTTTCCTCGACACAGAGGGAGGACAACAGTCACTCGCCCTTTTTTTTTTCTAACTGCGCCCATTTCTCAGAAAATTCTGGGTATGCGGAGTGATTACACAGGAAACGTTTGATAGATTCAAATTATAAGCAAGCACGCGGCCTTGTGCTGGTTTGCGGACAGACTGTCAACAAAAAGAAGAAAATAAAGGATGGAGTGGAAACTAACAATGAAGCATTTGAAGAGAAAACATTTGTGCATGTTGCGAGAACTCAGCTTTTGAAAATAATGAAACATTTACAAGAATATTTCACTTAGGAGGCTGTTTTGCTCCGAAATAGCTGTGTGTTTGATGTTTTTAATAAACCTTATAATTATATGTTTATTAGGATAGTAAAAAAAACAAGGGTGCATTACAGCAAAAACCTGATGGTTCATATAGTGACTATGTTGGGAGATTTTATTTGTATTTCTGTAACGAAACATGACAAATGCAAAACACTTTAAATCTTAAGATTTTTAAAAAAGCACAAATGGCTGCATCCTCTGGAGCAAGAAAAAACACCCTTTAGTTCTTTACAACTAATCATGATTAATAATAAACCAAACTGAATGTGTCAGGTTATACAGAGTGGGAACTTTTCTCATCTTTAAATAATAAATAAGAACCTGCAGCTTTGTGCATTCATTTTGTAATGAAACAAACTTGTAAGGTGAAACGTTGAACACTTTTTGCATTTAGATAAGAAACAAGCCACATCTTTATTCCCCTGGTTAAAAACGGAGTAGAAATGATTAGTCATTAACTAGTACCTGCTGCTCACTAAATGTTTTGACGTCATTTTATTGACCCTGAGACTAAAATAATAAAATAAAAATAAAAAAAATACTGCAAGTGCTGCCATTTAAGGAAGTGGATTGCAAAATGAACATCTTTGAGGAAAAAGATGTGGTGATTTGCATTGTTATTGACATGGAAACTCATTGAATTCATAAAATTTTTCCACACGCAAAGAGCATAATGGAAAAACACTCGGGCCTAAATCATGAGCGCTTCTTTTATCTCATGTTTATGGCTTTGTGGGATTGTCCTTATGAGTGCAATTATTTGTTGGAGTACACACTCAGAAATACACTCGGTTAAAAAAAACAAAACAAAGAAAAACTCATTCAGTTTCATCTTATCAGCTTAAATGAGCCACTTCAAGTTTTTTTTTTTAAACGAAAACACAATTTATAAAATGCTGTGTGTTTTCTTTTCTTTGTCTGAGCCAGAAAAGCATGTTTGTTCAGCGACATCCAGCAGAGACAGATAAAGTCCACAAGACTTCTTAGAAAACAGGCTCATTCCAGGATTCCTGGGAAAAGGTTAAGATCTCCCTCTCTTTCAGAGCAGCAGCACTTTTTTTYCCCTCTTTGGTAAAAAACCTGGCTACAGTTGTGACCAAGTGTGCAGTGGTGTGTCATCAAAACACTAACATAACGAGAAATGTTTCAGATTATATAGATGGGGGTGTATTTTGAAAACTTTGACTCCGAGTGGGATGTCCCTAAAAATACAGTGAAGAAGCCTTCTACGATTATTAAATAATTATTTTTGCGTAATGATAGTAAATATACCTACTGTGGAGGCAGGAGTTAAGAAAAAGCCAAAGTGTAAAAAAAAATCCCAAACAGAAATGTGAGAAGATAAGAAATGCCACTTTAAGTAGTCTGAACTTTCCTAGATGGCGAAAATGAAAAAGAAAAAAAAAAAGGGGGGGGGTGTTGCCTGTTCAGCCTATACACTGTTACAAAAACAACTTGTTTTCTTTAGTATAAAAGCTCTGAACCTCCACGAAAAGCTGCAGCCTATTTTTCCAAACAGGATCGAGGGAAATCTATATTACTGGAAACAGCCAGTGTGCATTCCTATTATCTTTAATGCCGAGGCGGCGAATTTCCCAGAATGAGGGCTCTGTCAGGGCCGCCCGGCGGGGCGGAGTCAATCCCTGCAATTATTCCTGGAAAGCCAGTAGGCAGAAGCTGCCGCGCGCGGACAGTTCCTGGGAGCGCGAGAGCGTGCGCGCGTCGGTTTTTTTTTTTTTTTTCCTCCTTTTCAGCGAAGCCTTCGAAAAGACACGCGGTAGAACCAGGAGAGGGGAGAGGCACAAAGCAGAGATAACGTCCCCGGATGTGTTTCAGAGAAGACGGCAGAGAGGCGGTAGGAGCCAGAGCGGCAGCCGCGCGCAGAGTGTGACGTCAGAGCCAGAGCCGGTGCAGCGGGGAGTTCTGAGAATCGACTTCTAGGAAACGGTAAATTTTAAAAGCCAAGCCTTTAGCCTCCGTCCTTCATACGTCTGGACCCCACTCTGGCGACAACACACTCCGAAGCGCTGCTGTACAAAACTGAACCTTTTACATTTTTAGTTTATTAGTTTTATGTTTTTAACCAGCTGCGCGGTTTTACACCCAGGACCGAGGCGCTGTTGATGTCTGTGACAGGAGCATTTCCTGTCGTCGAACGAGACATTTGTGTCGCGTTTTCAGTCCACATTTTCAAACAAGCTCTTTTTAATAATAACAATATTATAAAAGCGGCTGTTTTTGAGCTTCTCTTTATGATTTGGTTAATATCTGAAGAGATTATCTAAAAGGACTTTTCCCTTTCGGAGGATTTATTAGTATGATTCTTTGTGAGCGCRGGTGAGTAGTCGACTTTTCTTTGTTTCCTTCATCTCATTTTTACATTTCTGTCATAGTTTGGCCTCATCAGAAAACAAATCCACCTTAAATGTACGCACTAYGATGATGATAATAATAATGATAAATTTATGTGTGAATTAAGTGAAGCTTTGTATAGAAATGCTGTCCTGGAAGTAAAAACAAATAAAAGCACAAAAAGCAAAACTAAAATAGTGAAGAATCAATGCAGAGTTCTTAAGCATTCTTGGAGAGAATTGTAAATAAAAAAGAAAACACAAATATCAGTGACTAGTCACACATTTTAAACAAACCCAGTTGTATTTAATGACGTGTTTATGTTTATGCTGGATTAACTCAACCTTTCCTCTCATTTCCAGTCCCAGGACTCTGACCACTGAGGGCCTTCGGGGTATGAGGGAGGGAACCGTACCCCCGACCTCCTGCCTTCAAAGCACATCTCACGTCTGGGACCCCATAAAGGAGCTGACAGCCATTCGGCTAAACCTGTGCTATCTTGAAAATTCAGGTACAGAAAAAAAAGAAAAGAAAAAAAAACGTTTTCACCTGTTTGTCAAGCTTTTTCTCGTTGGTTAATTCCTGCGTATTTCAGCGTGGGTTGGAACAGCTCGGTCTGTTAAATGTGCGTTTGTAGTGGAATTCTGCTTTTCAACAATATTCTTTCGCACTCAARTCAGCTGTGTTGTAATAAATAACCTTTAAGACCGTCCACAAAGACTAATACTGAGGGATGTGTGTGCAGGATGGTAYTGGGGAGCTCTAACAGCGGCGCAGGCTCATGCCGCCCTCCAAGGAGCATCGGAGGGGACCTTTTTAGTACGGGACAGCAGCCACCCCATGTACATGCTGACCCTGACGGTCAGGACTGCACGCGGCCCCACCAGTATACGGATCCAGTACAGCGACACCCGCTTCCTGCTGGACGCTAGCTCCCCGGCCCGCTCCAGCCTCTCATCCTTCCCAGACGTGCCCAGCCTGGTGCAGCACTACATGGGCGCCGAGAGGAGAGCGGAGGAGCAGAGAGTAAAGAAGGACAAGCAGCAGCAGCAGCAGCAGCAGCAGGAGGAGGAGGAGGACGACACGTGGAAGTCCTCGGAGCACGCAGTCCAGGACATGCCCGTGGTGCTAAAACTGAAGCGACCTGCGTACATATCCTGGAGCCTGCCCTCGTTACAGCACCTCACGCGCCTCGTCATCAATCGACACACCGACTGCCCCGACGAGCTGCCGATCCCACGACCCATGCAGCGTTTTTTAAAGGAATATCCCTTCAAGGTATGAGAGGAGGAGGAGTGGGGGGTGGAGGAAAGTCGGTCGACTTGACCCCGCTTGGCTGAATCTCGGCTTATTTAAGGGAAGAAAAACTCTTGAACAGGTCATTTGTGCCTGTAGAGGCCAGTCCAGAAAAAATGTTTCTGACAAAAAAAAAAAAAAGAAAAGAAAGAAATGTGCAAATTCAAGTTCAGACTGACGTGTCAAAGACTGGGTGCAAAAACAAAAAGAGCCCAGAAAAAGAAACCCAGTACTGTGACTGTAATTACTTTAAAGACAGACGTGGAACATCACAACTTCTGCATTTTCATATTGTTTCTAAGAAATACACAGATTTCATTGAGACATATTTTATGTCAATTTATTATTATTTTTTTCCCCTCAGAAGAGCATTTTGTACTTTTTACATGTGTAAATATTTCTAATAAAATACACAATTTGAGAAAAGAAGTGGCCCGTTGTTCATATCTTTGCTTCCCTATTTGTGGGGAAATAACCGTTGTTAACAATCACATGCCGGCTGCTCTTGTGACACTTATTGCAAAACATTTTCACCACTAATCACCTTTGAGACACAAAGACTCGTGGCCTTTGAGCTTTTAGTTTTGAGAGAAAAGCAGATTGTGTGAGGAAGTGTGTGTGTGTTTTGCTCAACAATGCATATGGACTGCATCTGAGTCAGCGGGGTGGACAAGCGGAGGGGAGGACCCATTCATCAGMGGATTCACAGAACCACTGAATGCTTCCTGGGAGGAGTGAGGGTGATTCTGAGAGGGAGCGTTCTAAGAAAAGCTTTGGTAATTACCTACAGGTCTGTGTCTGCTTTTGTGCTGTCGTGCACGCATTTTTTATCGTGAAACGGGGCGCGATCGCATCCGCTACCAGGTGAAAAGTGCGACCGTGATGCGAGAACTATCTGGGATTGTGCAAATTGTAGATGTTTTTTTTTTATGGGAGCTCATATTGGAGCCTGCTCGATGGGGGCAGGGGGAGCAGAGGCAACCTGAGCTAAAGCCAGTGTAATAGGATCTCAGTTTCTCAATCCTGATCCAGTTTGCAGTCCCCGTTTGACTCCTCTTTCTGCAGGATGCAGAACCGTGGCCTAAGAAACAACAACAAAAGCTAAGAAGAAAAAAAATCTACAATCTGAATCAAAAAACTGTAACAGCGTATTTCTAAACAAACCTGCCGCTGACGTCGTGTCGCGTTTCCAAGTACTGCAGCTCTTCCACGTTCTCCTCCACCCACTGTCGAACGAGCGGGGGGTGCCTGGGGTCCACCTCCAAGTAAACACGGCTGTTTATCCGAGGGGGAGGAATGACACAAAGGGAATTAAAATTTAATTAACAAAAAAAAAAGACAGGATTATCAGAAGTGACCTTGAGGTGCCTGGAAATGTAATTCACAGGAAGACTCCCAGAAAAGCTTAACTCGTTAAAAACGCAACACGATACTGGTGTGTGTGTGTTTTTTTTAAGCTAGCAGCTCCTGTGACAAATCGCCACAGCCGTTAAGAATTAATCCCAGGTGTGTGCGTGTTGACAGACAAAACTGTGGTGTCTTACCTGTGATTTGACAGGATGAGTGGAGCCAGAGTTAAAATCTGTTTGATCACATTTAGGCCATCTTCACCTCCGTCTAAAGCAGCAGGATCTTCATACCTGGAAGACAATAGAAATAAAACAATACAGGTACAGTGCATTCCCAAAATTTCAGATTTCAATTAAAAAAATAATAAACTAAGAGGTACACTTTGCATTTAGACATATTTATAAAAGATCGATTTATTTAAACTCAAAATTTCAAACATTCATTATTAATACTGTGCAGCTTTATGGTGAATCATGGCTTTCCCTGCAAAACCTGAAAAATATAGATAATTTTATTAGAAAATTTCTATTCAGCATTAAAGGGGGCGGATATGCAAAATCAACTATTGTGAGCTTTATATCATGCTATTCCCTCATTCCTTCACGCATGTTTGATAAATCCTTGAATCTCCTGCGGCAGCCATGTGGAACTGCCTAAACGCTTCCTGCTACAAAGCCCCGCCTATTTACACAAAGCTCCTCCCTGAAGCTCAGTCTATACCCGAGCTCCCGCCCCACAGAGCACCCCCTCCCCTAAAGCATTGTTTGAAAACGTGCTGAAGCGGGAGCGTCCGAAATGGTAGGACAGTTTGTCTGAAACAAACAACTATTTTTATTATAAGTTAGAATTTCACTTGCTGACATTTAATCTACTGTACATGCTATTTTCCCCTCTAAATTTACAAAAATATAATATCTGGTTGGATTTATACAAAATATAACTTTAGAGTGGCTGAAACTGCAAATTCAATTCCGGCAAAAGTGAAATTTTTATTTCTGGTTGGTCAAGCTACTTGTAATTTAAGTTTTATTATGTATGTGATTTAAGGCCTTATTGTCTTAATTTATGGATAACAATTCATGATTTAATCATTTATGAAGGAATAAAGTTCATCCGTGAATTGATCATGTTTATCTTTTTTCCCCTGCACATCAGAAGTTTAGAAGCATAAGTCAACATAAACTAAAAAAAAAATCAAAAGCAACAATTCAGATCAAAGAGTTCAACATGTCAGTGTTGATTCTCAGAAAGCTGTTTAGTTACTGTTTGGTGCGTTGGTCTGATATGCACCTGGCAGCTTTAAAATCTGTGGAATCGCTGTACAAACAACCAGATAAGAAGTCATTTAGTTTTCATCATTGTCATATAAAGAATATTTATGCTGGTTTTAGTACCAGAACGACTGCCTGATTCATAGGATTCTGCCGCTGCTCTTCTGAATGAGTAATACAGTAAGATGAGGACTGYGTGACAGAAGTGTAGTGTAAAATTCCACTGATGGCATGCTCTGGATGAAAAACAGCCTGAGTAAAAGCTTTGTTTTTTGTTGTTTTTTGTTTTTCCCCTCAGAGGAGCTGTACGATCTCCTCTGGCAGCTCTGTTTGCAGCTGACTTCAGATCAACAAATCCAGTCGGACGGAGCCTTTTTAATCATTGAAAAACAGCGAGTGGAAAAAACAAACCAACACATTTTGTTTGCTTTTTCATTCGCACTCACAGATGGATTTTTTTCCTTTTTCCTCGTGTCGATTTAGTGTAAAGATGACCGATTCCCGTTGAGTTTAAAAGAGAAAGTTCAGATCTTGTGGAGTTATGTAGCGAGGTTATAAACATATTTTCTTTATTGCTTGTAGTTTTCTATTTAAATTCTCATTTTTCGAGAAAAAGAATTTCGTTTTGACCCGGGCTGATGGGTTAACGGCTAGCTCAAGTGGTGCGAAGAGACCAAAGTGAATTGCTGTCGACTTGAAACAACCTCAGCTTCAAGAGTTTTGTATCACTTCCTGCAAACTCCAGGGCTTTTGCAGAAATCAGCCAATCAAATTTAAAGCTTTTCAATACCATTTTAAGGCCTTAAATTAAGTAAACTCTATTTAATGCTTTTAAATGCCTCACGGAAACCTGTTTTATAAACCTTTACACTGCTGCCAGCTCTTAATGACATGGTAATTCTGGCAGAAATATTACAATTTCCCTGCTGGAAGAGCTTTAACTGAAAAATTTAGATGTTTTTTTGGATTCACTCTTTACCATGTTCCCCTTTTTTTAATTTATTATATTATCCTTACATACGAATAGTTCAGGATCCTTTTCATCGTGTGCTGTACTTGTTTAACTCCACACGTGACAAATAAATGTTGGGCTGAACAGGAAATGCTACAACTAGCTGCCACTGTCACTATTTGCTTTAGCAAACAACCATAAGATTCTATGGTAATAACTGTAGGTCTTTTTGCAGTTCTAAATCAGCTTTAATAATATAAATGGTACAATAATCTATCGAGTACTTCTTTAAAATACTTAAACACAAATAAAAGGTATATGTTAGTCACCTATAAATTTCTGGCTCCAGTGACATCATATCTTCTGAAAACAGGTACGGAGGGTTACTGACCAAAGCTGAAACGGACCCACAGAGCCTTAACACAGCTTCTGCATCTGGAAATGGATGTGCATTTTTTTTTAAACCAGCAGGTCAGAAATACAGAACATTGTGTGGATTTTTTTTCTACTTACGTTTCATCACATCGAGATGATAAATCTGTAATCTGTCCTGAAGCCCCAACCTGTTGAGGAAACTCTTGTGTCAGACAACATGGTTTACAATAAAAAAACACAAGACTTTGAATAAACAGAGTAAATCACAAAGATTCCAAAAGTTACAACTTGTTTCCTTGACACAATTACCTCAAGGCGTTCTCCCGGGTTAAATCAACTGCATCCTGGCTGCGATCCAAGGCAAAGACTCGGAGCTGGGAAAACAGAAACAAACACGAAGAGTAAAACCTGTTTCTGTCTTCATTAACCATTTCTGTCAGGTTTTCTGTTGGAAATCAATCAGAACTATTGGCTTATGACAATGAGGTGACTCAGTCAAATTTAACAGATTTGAAATTGAAGTGTGGCATGGTAGATCCAAACAGATCACATAAGATCTTTGCTTAAAATCTTGACATGAAGTGAGGCATCGAAGAATGCTAGTTTCATTTGGTCTAAAGTGGTAAAACTGAACATTTAAAGTAAATGAGGGTGTTTTATTTAACCGAAACTATGTTTTAAATCTGTGTGCATATTCCTCTTCAATATCTCTAATAATTGTCATTAGTTGGACCGTAATCTGAAAAAGAGCAGCACTGCGGAAAATAGGGTTGGGCATGATCGTATCGTGTGCAATTAATCGTCAGAAAAACAATCGATTATATTTTTGACACTTAACGATTAATACGATCAATGCCACCAGACAGAGTCCACTCCTCTCTGCTTCAAATATGAGGAACATTTAAAAAAAAGTTCTGTAATTTATTTATCAACACAATTTAAAATTTGAAGTATAGCGTGAAGTCTGTAATTTTGACACAATTTGGAACAGATTTTTAAGAAGAGCAAATCTTTCCCACTAAATTGGTCATGTGACCAGGACATAAGGGTGTCCAGGGACTCCAAGGGATTAATTGTCAAATTAATCATTATCGGCTAAATACCACAATTAATCGTGATTACGTTTTTTGCCAATATTGCCCAACCCTAGCAGAAAAGTCAACTTGTCTGTAGCAGCCTCCTTATCTTTGCTAGAATGGAAAGGCAAAACGAGGTTACAATCCTTACATAACCCCGCTGAACACACCCGACTAAACTGACAGGTTTTAACAACGAAGGCACGCGTTGGACTAAAGTACATTTCCAACAAAGCATCGAGAGTCTTGTGGTCTTTGAGCCACCACACTGTAATTTGATGGAAATACTGAGAAACCCTTCTTAGTAAATGATCGATAACTGTTCGTGTGAAGTTAGTTTCATAAGTCCTGCGGAGTAAATGAACTGTTGTTTTTATTCCATTGTAATCTTGTGAAATACATGAGTCCTTGTGGGAGGAAACAGGAATCTTTTTGTAGAGTTTCAAGCTTTCAGGTTGGTTGAAGGAACACAAAAGGCAGCAACAGTTTTCATTCACCGATATTTCATTTGATCACAATGTGTCTGCCCTTTTATCGACTGTTTTTCCCGGAGGTCTTTCTCTGTAAATCTGAGATAAAACTGGATAAAAAACAACTTTGCACAAGAATTTAGCAAAGTGTGATCCAAGCACCAGGTTTGGCAAGATTCTCAAAAGCCTACAGAATCAACCTGCCCAATTAAAAATACAAGATGGAAGACAAATCCATTGGCCAAGTCCGGTTTAGTTCCGTAAAATCTCACTATTTGGCCGATCGGAGTGATCTCGGAGTCAGTTTAAAGGATTCTTGCACGCTGAATCTAATTTTCCTACTTCTTGAAGCCTCAAACATTTACAAGACATCTTTGCAATAACAAGCTTCAATTACTGACTCTTTTAGTGTCGGTTCTTGTAATCTATCCTTATTTTATATTCAGTAACAGACATTCCCCCAAAGGAAACATCTGTGCTTTTGTCATGGTTGTGTACCTTTAGTCAAAAAAAAAAAAAAAAACCAGGTGATTGTGATATAATTGTTAAAAATGACTGTGATATCAGCTGAGATAAAACCCAGATTCTCCTCAAAACTGTCAGCCTTCATCTTCTGCCTGTGCATCTCTGCACGCACTTGAGACTAGAACAGCCTCTGATTTACCACCCGCCTTTAACCATACTGACACTGCACACACTGATATTGCCATGACAACAAAATATAAATACATTTTGAAGCCCTAGAKCTCATAAATAATAAGCATTAGCTTTGACAGTCCATTAGTTAGATGATTAGAAATTTTAAAAGAGACCCATGATTTGTTGTAACATTAGACTTTATTTGATAAACATATATTTTAACTGTAAAATAAAGACTGCAAAAATACTGTAGGCTGTTTAGTTTTTATCATTTTTAAACTAAAAGTTTAAAAATATATTACACGGACGGGGCCATTTTATTTACAAGCAAAGCATTCTGGGTAAATGATGGCATGGATAGGTCATAGGTGTAAGGCTGCTAGCGAGCTATATCC